GTAGAGTTTTTAGGGTTCTCTGCAAATATTATCATATCGTCTATAAATAGTGATAGTTTTCCCACTGACTGGGAAAAAATCTTTGCACTCCATTCAATTGATAATGGACTGATCACAAAGATATACAAAGAACTCACTTGACTCAACAAAAACAAACAATCCAATCAAGAAATGGGCAGAAAAACTTAAAAGGCCTTTCTCCAAAGAGGAAATGTAAATGGCCAACAGGCATATGAAAATATGTTCAATATCCCTTATCATCAGGGAAATGCAAATCAAAACCACATTGAGATACCAACTCACACCAATAAGAATGGCACATATCAAAAAAACAATCAACAATATAAGCCAAAAAGAAAAAGAAAAATGCCGGATGGTCTCACTCATAGCAGGAATCTAGAAAACTTAAATAAGGGACCAGGAAAATGAATATAAGAAAGTGAAAATCAAAATCAACAAAAAACTATGAACCAGAGACACTTTTTGGGGGGTGGGGGGCGGGAGGGGAAGGATTGGGGTCAGAATGGGGCGTTTGCAATTGTATGGGGGAATATAAAAATAAAATTTAATATTTAAAAAAAAAATGTAATAAATTTATGTTGTCAAAGTAAAAAAAAAAAAAAAAAAAAAAAAACAAGCAACAGCAAATGTTAGCAAAGATGTGGTGAAAAAAAGGAACTCTCCTACATTGCTGATAGGAGTGCAAACTGGTCCAACCACTATGGAAAGCTGTCTGGAGATTTCTCAGTCTACTAAAAATGGAGCTACTGTATGACATGGCAATTCCACTCCTAGGGATCTACCCAGAGGACACAAAAACATTGTTTCAAAAGAACACCTGTATACCTATGTTTATTACAGCACTATTTACAATAGGTAAAACCTGGAAACAACCCAAATGCCCCAAAATAGTTGACTGGATCAAGAAGATGTGGCATATATACACATGGAATATTATTCAGCAATCAAAACAGATAAACTCATGCCATTTGCAGCAACGTGGATGGAGCTGGAAGGAATTATGCTCAGTGAAATAAGCCAGAAGGAAAAAGAAAAATATCGCATGGTTTCACGCACAGCAGGAATATAGGGGAACCAAATAAGACATCAGTGTAAAAAAAATAATAACAGTACAAAGTACAACAAAGCAAAACAGACAATTATAAATCAGAGACATCCTGCTGGGGAGGAGGAGGGAGAGGGATAAAGGGAGGGAGGAGCACAGGGGACTGAGATGATGGTGCACAGGTGCATTGGTGAAGGAAACTCTATGGGGACTACACCTGAGGGGGTGGGGGAAGCAAATATTGTTTAAAAATGAACAATGATGTAAAAAAATAAAAAAAAATAATAAAAAAATAAAACTCTGAACTGAAGGGCCTATTAATCATATCTACCTCCCTCCCTGCCTCCCTAACTGTATGTCTATCTACCAATGTTGTAAACAGAAATGGAACATATATTATAGAAGAAAAATCAGTGACTATAATAAAGGAACCCAAAATTTAGTTATCTACAGCTAATTTTGGCAAGTTAATTCTATTTCTCTAGCTTTCAATCTCATAATTAGAATAGAGGGCCTAAAAGAACATTCCAGCTCTAAAATTCAATCCTTCCAAACGTATTTTCCCCAAATTATAATCACTAATGCTCCTTTAAATGTTCAAACTGGGGTCTCCCTAATGGCACAAGGTGTTAAGATGCAGCTTTGTGAAGATGTCCACAGACACTGCAGCATGAGTTCTATCCCAGGCCAGCAAGGTGACCCAGATGGCGCAGCAGACCTCTCCTGACTTGTCCACTGCTCCCCTTAGCAGTGTATTTCAGTAAATCTGCCTGTTCTGTTCCCCACTCTGTCTCTGGTGAATCCTCTCACCCCCTGCATCTCTGATCTGCACTCCAGCTCTTGTATACACAAATAAATAAATCTCAAAAAAAAAAAATTCAAACTTTAGAAGCTGAGCATAATGAGAAAGGAATATTGAGCACTTAATTACAGGCTTCCTGTCTGCCTATAGATTGTTATACTTTAACTATTCCTTTTTGATGCCTCATCTGGCGTTCTTTCCATTTTCCACTTCAGAATAAAAATAATTTTTTTCTGAGGTAAAACTATTGAAATTGTTTCATAAGATAATATTGAATAATACAATCATTCCTTCTTTACAAGTAAATGTATATCTTGATGTGGTATATATTATATATATTATATATTATATTATATATTTTATATATTATTTCATATATCATATACTGTATATTACATATAATACATTATATTATGTTATATGCAATATATATTATATATTATAATAATATATATTATATACATTATACACATACATGCAATGCAATACCACTCAGCTATAAAAAGAGAAAAAATCTTGCCATTTGTGACAACATGGATGGAACTGGAGGGGACTATGCTAAGCGAAATAAGTCAGAAGGAGAAACACAAAAGCCATATGATTTCACTCCTATGTGGAAATAAAGTGGGGATAAAGGGGGGAGGAGGAACAGACAAAACTAAACCAAAACAAACCCTAGAAATCTGACTGAAGAATTGAGGCTACCAGGGCTAGAAGGAGAAAGGAAATAAAAGGAAGGAGCTCCAATGGTATATAGTGGAGGATTATGGGTGCCTTGGTGGAAGATATGGTATGCTAACATACATCTGAATTCCCCTATATTGTATACAGTGTTGGGCCTCCCTGGTGGTGCACGCAGTTGAGCACAGCACTGTGAAGCTGTCTGCAGCCTCTGCAGTGCAGGTTCAATTCCAGCTGTCCGTGGAGATACCCATATGGTGAGGCAGACCTCTCCTGTCTTGCCCGTTGCTCCCCTCAGCAGTATATTTCAGTCAGTCTACCTGTTCTGTTCCCCGCTCTGTCTCTGGTGAATCCTCTCACCCTCCCACACATATGGCCTGTACCCAGTTCTTGTACAAATAAATAAATCTAAAAAAAATTATATATGGTATTGTAAACCAATGTTACCTCAATAAAACAGAAAATAAGTGTTCTTCTAATATGCATGTGTTCACATCAAAATTTTTTTTAATTCATAAGTACTAGGAAGAATCAGTGTCTTCCAAATAATTAATACATTAAAAAAATTGTTGTAGGTTCAGCTAAAACTAAATCAAATAGGGCCTCCCCTGGTGGCGCAGTGGTTGAATGCTGGGGCCACGAAGCTGCCCGCAACCTCTGCAGTGCCAGTTCGATCCCTGGCCTCCAGTGAGGTTCCCACATGGTGCATAGACCTCTCCTTCCATGCCCGCTGCTCCCCTCAGCAGTGTATTTCGTCAGTCTGACTGTTCTGTTCCCCGCTCTGGTGAATTCTCTCACCCCCTCATGCTTCTAACTGTACCCAGTGCTTGTATAAATAAATAAATCTTTAAAAAAAAAAAAAGCTAAATCAAATAATTTATTATGGGAAAAATATCCCCAAGCACCATCACTACAAAAAAAATGTCAGGATTAGGATGTAATATAAAGATAATTATAATAAAAAAAGAGAAGTAGGTAAAGATGAATATGAGGACTAATTCTTAAAATTAATAGTGGTATTTAACTGCAACTCAATTGAATCAATGATGAAGTTTAAAGGGTTGTGAAAGCTCAAAACATACAATAAAATTATGGGAAACAAACTTTGAAGATGCAATAAATAGAATGAGTTTGAGGTAAAGGAAATTCAGGCAGCAAGAAAGGAAAAGAAAAATACAGTTAAGGAGGTCTTTTGAGCCTCAGGAGAAATAATAATGGAACTACTTCAATGCACAGTAGGGGTGTCCAAAATAGTATGCATGAGAAATTCTAATTTAAAATACTTTATATAAGAAAACCTGTAAAAATAAAATGAATTCTACAGCAAACTTAAATCAGTTGATTGCGATCTTAACACAGCAATAAAACTGCATTGTGAAACAAAATCAGGAGAGGTTATGTGGTAAGTTGTGTGAAATTGCATGCTGCATTAAGTTGGAAAGATAAAGCATTACAACCCGAGATTTATAAACATATAAACACAACATAAATAAACAAGTGGACTAGTGGTTAATTAGGGGAATCCTCCATTTTATTATTTCCATTTTTCCACACTTATAACCTGTCACTGATTTATTTTTACTAGCTGGAAATTGGAAGAAGGATTAAGTATGACAAACATTATCTTTATTTTCTCAGGATTTTATTTTGTCCTCCTTGAAGTTTACTGCTTGATAATAACTAACATATCCAAGGCAATAGTATTCAAAAAAACATTTTTTTTTTAATACAAAGTATTCAAAGCAATCAGCAAAGTAAATTCCTTTGGGACTCTTTGAAAGTCATTCTACTGCAAATCTGGTGGAAATAAGCACATCTTACTCAACACTAAACCAGCTATATACTTTGCCTTACTTAACACATGACTCACTACTAATGATAGAGTACAGTGTTACTGAGTTGTTATATAAGTTCATTCTGTACTGATTAAGGTCAAGTCTAAACTGAATGAGAGATACATCTTTTACAACCTTTACAGTTTATCACTGACCCCAATCTCAGGCATTTAGAAGTTGGACATCTGTATCTTCCAGAAAGCAAGATTTTGAGACCAAAATGTGAACTTCTAAAACTTCAAAATGACACAATCAATGAGCAATACCATATCATGTAGAAAGAAAAGAGAGCTAATATTTTTATTATGTACTATACAGCAGGCAAGGATGGAGATGCTTTGCTGATGAGTCCTTTAAACTACAAACTGAATTTGAAAGACACAACTGTGAAAATGCCTTCACTGTTGAAGTTCCAAGAAAATTACTAAAGAACAGTATAATGCACATGCCTCTTTAAGGACTGTTTTGAATGAAAAGATAAGACTACAGTATATGGAGGCCCAGTGTTCTGCAACTAAGTCAGTTTCCTCACAATGGTCTTTGTCGGCAAAGTCTAAATCTCATATCAACATTAAAAATAACGTGAGGGACATGGAAAAAACTATCAACCACTCACCATAATGCATGTAACAGTTTCCTTTGGTGGGATCCAGCTCAATAGCCTTCAAGAAGAACTTTTCAGCCTCACTCTTACGTCCCTTGAAAAACAGAGAAAATGGATGATTCAGCAGCAGATCATGAGAGATTCTTCACTTCCAGAGTCCAAATGAAATAGACCCGTGTCAACTTAGAAATCATCATCAAAAAGTGGTTTTGTTTTTATGTAAATAAGGATGATCAAAGGAGAATATGTTAGGAGAGAAGACTGGAGTCAGAATCCTGGAAAACACCAAGATTAGAAGAATACAAGGCAAAAGTGAGTTCATCAAAGAGATCAGAGAAGCAGCCAAGGAAGCAAGAGAAAAAAAGTGAAAAAATGGTTTCACAGAAGTCAAAAAGATAAGATAGTTTTAAGGAATGCTTTTAGGGAATGTCATTAACATTTTCTATTTTTAGTTTTTCCCTTCAATTCCTTCTTTTTCCTTGTAAAGAATTATGGTCATTTTTTTCCTTGGACATGATTTTGTCCTAATTGTTCACTTCATAGATTTAGAAACTAAGTCACGATTGTTGGATTTCAAACATCAGCTATTTGCTATTTATCCTTGCAGCTATCATGATGACAATACTTCTAATCTAGGATTTAACCTGGATTTAACTAGCTACAGTTTTAATTAACATCACCATCAACTTCAGAAGAAAATAAGCAAAATTAGGGGGAAAGGCTTTTGTATTGTATTGCAATACATAGGTTCTTCACAAAATATAATGAAGACAGATCCTAAAATTATACATTTTTTATCTAGTTATTGCTTTGGAACCATTGGTAGAGGGGGCGCAGGATAGGAGGTAGGAACAAGAAAGTTTTCCTGGAGCACTACTGTCATGTCTGGCATGGTGGGAATGAAGGTCTATGCTAATTCAAGGGGTAGCAAGTCATTGAGTGGTGTCCTGAAGCGTTGGTCCACAGAAAAGGGAAACAACCTTATTGGCCGGTTCCTCCTAACTTATATACTGTCTACTACATGCATTTCAGGTGATGTTTTTCCTTTTTTTCACATTTATTTTTAAAAACATTGTTATGGAGATAAATCTTCCAAAGATAGAGGTACAATTAACTTAATAGCCGATTCTCCATGTAACCTAACCTATTCCTCCATAAATCTGCTTCATTTACTTCATTTGCTCACTTTTAAAAATAGTGTCACTATATCGATATTCACCCGTTATCCTAGCAGGTAGAATTTAGTCCTACAACCTTTGTTACCTGTAAGTAATAATCAAATTATCAGTCAACAGACATTTTCATTTTTCCTTTTGCATTAATAATGCTATGCTAGTTAATAACTAGTGTTTAATTTCCAAGTCTCATCAAATATCCAGTCATTAAAAATTTTAAGTCCCCTGCAATATTTCTCACAGCATTTTAACTTCAATGGAAAAAAGAAAAGCAAGCACAGGGAAAATGCTTCTCACACATCATACTTTCATGAAGTTAGTTAAAGTTCAGCATGAACCTTACCAAGTTAGTATTCCCTAAGTGATTAAATAACTGTAATATAAACTAGGCAGTCTGACATATGAGACATTTGAATTGACAGCACAGATTCTAAGCAGGCAAAACAGCTCCCACACACGGGTTGCAATGTGACCCTTGGAAAATTATTTTGTCTCTTAATTGTATTTTCTCTATTAGAAAAGAGAATAGGTAGAGAACAAGGGATTTGCAGGGCTATTGAAACTATCTGTACGATACTGTAATATTGGGTACGTATCACTACCCATTTGTCAAAATCCATCAGACATATAACACAATGAGTGAATCCTAATGTAAACTAGGGTCTTTAATAATATTGTGTAGTATTAGATTATCAACTATAACAAATGTACAACATTAAGGGAAATTGATAATAATGGAGAATCTATGTAGGTGGTAGAGGTGCGGGCCTATATAAGAACTTGCTGTACTTTCAATCACTTAATTTGAAAATCAAAGTTCTCTGAAATAAAGTGTGCTATTTCTAAGGGGATAATATCACATAAGATTATTGAGTTAACTGAAACAATACACATGAAGTACTTAGGTATATTATAAATTTGAAAAGGGTATCTATTATTTTATATATACATATATACATACATATATAGTATGCAGAGCTGACAGTAAGTTTTGTCTTATGTGTGTTTATAAAATATGTGTGTGTCTGTGTGTGTGTGTGTATATATATATATATATATATATATATATATGGTAAATTTGGTTGTTGGTAGATTGGTTATATGTATATAAATGTGTGTGTGTATACACACACACACACATATATACACATATATATAGATCCTCAAAAACACATGGTCAGCTTTTAAATCACTACTGGAAAACTAAATACACAGGCCTTGGAGAAGATAATAAAAGAAAATGCAAAACAAAGCTGTCATCCATAAAGTCTATACAAATGTTATATACAAAGATAGAAAGAATCTGTGAACTTTCTTCTACTTCAGTTTTTAAGGGTAGAAGAGAAGTAAATGGTTCATTTATCAATGTCATAGCAAGCAGGATGGTAAAATTCTGCGCATAGTCCATTAACAAAACAATAGTATGTAGCATTAAAAACATACATCAGAACTCAAGGACCAGGTTATTGCTCAGTGGACCAGGTTATTAAAGGTAATGAGTCCCATCATATGCTAGATGCAAAATGAACACAATGGCCAGAACATTCTTTTTGAGAGGGGAGTACTAAACCATCATGCAAAGACACATCTTTCTGCTTCGACCACTTTTTATTTAGTCAAGAGTCAAAATAATGGGGAAAATAATATCCTCACAAGAGGATCCTAAGTCAACCCAATGCACAAGGCAAACAAACACATGCATTACTGGGGCTTAGTATGGGTAGGAGGAAGGTAACACTATGTTTCATCAAGTTCACTCTTTCACTATGTTGTTGTAGAGGGATGGCAGTAAAGAAAGTGGATAAGTCATTTCTCAGCAGGTTGATCCTGGTGTCTATTAGATTATGTCAGTATTTTCTACCAACAAGCATTGGGGAGTAGCCACTGGTTACACAGACTCCTCATATCAAGCACCATTACTCATTTGGTAGATTGGTTGGGAAGTCTGGACCTGCAGTGGTTCAAACAACCCAAAAAATAGGTTGATTTTGATAAATAAAGGAATGTGAGTTGAAAGGCTCTGTTTCTAGTGTCAGCTCTGTGGTTTATTTCCCTCTTCCGTTATTTTGTAGATTAAAAATTATTTATTGAGTCTCCCTGGTGGCACAGGGGGATGAGTGCTGCACTATGAAGCAATCCGCAGCCTCTGTAGCACGGGTTTGATCCCCGGCTGGCCAGGGGGCAACCCACATGGCAAGGCAGACCTCTCCTGTCTTGCCCACTACTCCCCTTAGCAGTGTATTTCAGTCAGTCTGCCTGTTCTGTTCCCCACTCTGTCTCTGGTGAATCCTCTCACCCCCCACACCTCTGGCCTGTGCCCTGGCTCTTGTATGAATAAATAAATAAATCTTTAAAAAATTATTTATTGAATATTTACCATTTGCCTTGCAGAGTTCTAAGTACTAGAAATATAACCATAAACAGAACAGAGCAGTAGTCCTCAAGTCCCAGTTGCAGGAGGTGCATAATGAACATACAACCCATTATGTGAGGGAATTAGTCACAGAGAACTGTGGGCAAACAATGTCTCCAATTAGCACTGAGGCAAGTGTCCTAGCGACAGACAGTGTTTGAATCTTTTTCCCTATGCTTATTTAACTGTGTGACTTGAATATCTTTGTCTCTTTCCTCACTTGGAAAAATGAATATAATTAATATCAATTTTGAATGGTTGCTAAGAAAATCACAAGTCAAATGGAAAATAACTAGTTTCAGATCTGGCATATAAAGCTCCAGCATGCTTTGATTTTTTCATCCTTCTAATTCCTCAAAAGAATTCTTCCTTCCAACTTCAATGCTAATGTCTGGTTCCCAACTATGGAAATTCAAAAATCCTTTTCAGAACTTCATGTCATGGTACAAGCTAAATTTCACAATTTTCCTCTAAAATGTCTCATTTGTAACATTTCCCTACCCCCCAATAAATTCCACATTCACATTTAGAGTGCTACAAAAGATGTCAGATTTCCTGGCTTACTGAATTTCATTTTCACAGATTAATGTTCCTTAAACGGGATTGTTTTTATATGGTACCCTTGTTCAAAAATATTTTAATAACTCCTTGTTTCCACTCATTCTATTTAATAATCACTCTAATTTTCAGATTCTTCCACCATTTAGCTCAAATCTTCTTGGATAAATTCCTATACCTTATGAGGCCAATTTCCCTTATAGCTCCTTTGTCTTCCCCTAATTATTTCTCCTGGTCTGTAATGTTATTCATTCTTTTATTCATTTATATGCACTTTATATTTCAGGCCTCAGTTGAAGTCCCAATTTTAAATCAAGCTTTCTATGACAATTTTAATAATTTCCCTTTTATTTAATTTTTAAAAGATTTTATTTATTTATACATACAAGAGCTGGGGTACAGGCCAGAAGTGTGTGTGTGGGGGGGGGGTAAGAGGATTCACCAGAGACAGAGTGGGGAACAGAACAGGCAGATTGACTGAGGTACACTGCTGAGGGGAGCAGCGGGCAAGTCAGGAGAGGTCTGCTGTGCCATGTGGGTTGCTCCCTGTCCAGGTGGGGGATCAAATTTGTGCTACAGTCTGCTGACAGCTTCACAGGTTGCGTCTTAACCCCTTGTGCCAAGAGGGGGCCCCTCCCTTTCCTTTTAATTGATGATACAATCATTGATGATATGATTACTTTTAAGTCAAGTCGTAAAACTTGAACTCTAACACATTAAACCCGGTGTTTTCATATATAAAATAATGTAGTCAAGTAAAATTATATTTCTCATTCTAGTTAAGAATTTACAGTTTGTACTTGACAGATCTTGTACCCATACACCAGTCAGTTAAAATAGCAAAATCCAGTATACAGAGGCAAAAAGCAATAGTGTAAAAGATTAGGAAGTCAAGGACATAAGAAACAGAGCCACAGAAACACTTGGCAAGTACTATTTTCAACATCA